AATGAGAGGCTCGGTGGCTTTAATTTTTAGCAGTCAATGATAGCAGCGGGAAACGTGATATCTGGCCTAAATTCGCCTATGAACTATATGTTCATCTCGGGTACATAGGAACAGTTATGCTGGTAAGGAATAGTATGTATGCGTATATAGATTTTAACTGCTCTGAGCTGTAGAGGATGACAAGGATGAGATACTGCATGTTGCGTGCCACACCCAGTCGGTCGGAGGCGGCTCAGTATAAACTAAAAGTTCCTGCATTTGTTGAAAATTCGTCTCGGAAGCACACCACAAATTGGGAGCGGAGCACAGTAGAAAAACAGTTCAGTAGAATCCGTGAAAAACCGCCCCCTCCCTATAAATCATACAGCGTTCGAGTTCAGACATGTAGTTTTCTTAATGCAATATAAAACGGACTTTTTTTCTCACTTTTTTCACTACTTATCTACAAAAACTTACTGCACATAAGATACATTGCATGTTGTTAGACTGAAATGGGCCAACTCGTGTGTCTGAAGGCTCAGCCTGTTTACCAATGCAATTGACCTTTAGTCGCGCAAGCTTCTTTGCTGTGATAGTTATGGCAGTTTATGCGTCTTATGTATTGATTTACAGTTATTTTATGTGCAAATATTTGCTAAATAAACACATTGTCGTGAGACAGCTGATAAAATAAAGGCAAATACATGCCTCAAGTGGGCTATTCTAAATGAAATGATTTACGAAGCATTTTCTAGAACAATATTGAACGATAGAATATTAAATAATAGTGGCTGATATGAATGAAGAGACAGCGGCTACGTTGGCTGGGTCATGCCGTTCGAATGGACGAAAGCACTCCAGCCTTCAAGGTATTCAAAGAGGAAGAGGAAGGTCTCCACCCCGTTGGAAGGATCAAGTGGATAGTGACCTGGCTTCACTTGGTATTGCCAACTGGAGAAGTACCGAATGACACGTTATTGTTGATACGGCTATAATCGTGTAACCCGCTGCCCTCGCCAATGAAGAAAGGAAAAGAGCATACATTTTCACTCCAAATATTCTTTTCCAAGACACTAAAAGTCTCGGGCTAATCTGCATTGTCATGCATCACATGATCTTAGGGGTCACATCACAGGCTCATAACGCAGGATAATCCGCTCATCAAAATTTTCCTGCCATAAATAGTTTATTTCGTTGGCTATAAGGCGGCACTACAGTCTTATTTGGATCGAAGATCGTCCACATCAAAATCCTATTGGCGCTGGAGCATACATTATTGCCGGCTTTCAACGCATAGAGCACACCAAGCCAGTGACTTTTTGAGGATTTAAACAATGACTTGTGGTCACGATTGCTCTAAATTTGTTTATTAACTTACCCATTCAACTAAAAATGAGCTTCATCGCTGTACAAAATTATCTTATGAAAGTCGTGATCGGTAGCCATCTTGTTTTGGTACTTGTCACCGAATCTGTGCCACGCTTGATGGTCGTTCGGCTTCAAGTCTTACACGATCTGGATTCGGTAAGTCCGCTAACCAAGATCCTTCTGCAAAGTCATCCAAGAAGATGAGGGACACAGCTCCAATTGTTGGCCGTGATAGCCATTCGGTTTTTTTTTGATGCACTGTTCCACAGCAGCAATAGCGTCTTTGGTGTGCACTGTACGGCTTCTCTGAGGATGCACACTATCCACTAGAATTGATGTGGTGGGAAACCGATTCATAGTTGCTCGAATCATCAACTCCGCTGGGCCATTTTATTGACCGAATATTGTAGTCCGGTCATTTTGACTTGTTAGAAACTTTTCGAAAAAGTCGACGTGCAAACTAAGGGAACTGTATGGAAGCAAACGGTTTTCGGCAGCGCCGGGGACAATGAAGAATGTCTAATTACTGTGGTGAGGAAACCGGATGCCGACCGCGTAACTCAGCGATCAACCACAACGCGTGAGGGATGGATAGATACTTTTTAGGTATTACGTGAAAGTCTAGATCCCACCATTAACAAACTGATCTTATCAGAGTGGCTTTGGACGGCGTAAACCCACATATGACTAGATGATCAACAAGCGCTAATCATGGGTAAAACAACTTGCGAAAAAAATACACAGCATCTTTTCATTGATTTTATAGCATCGACAGCATAATAAGGAGATGCCCCTACCTAGATATGTCCTATAAAACTTACCACATGAGTTAAGGCGAAAAACCTCATGGCCCGAATTTCTATCTACGAATTACAGCATCACATGAAAATTGGCTGTGAGGCAGGATTGACAACTAAGAAGCTTTAGTTGTGTTTTAGGTGGGATTAGCTGCTCTCATATGGGCATCAGGACAGCGCCAGACTCGCTAGAAGCTCCGAGAGCTTGGTTAGGAAGCTTTTATGCATTCAATTGCCTATTGTGAATGATTAACCTGATGAAGAATTGACCTCGCTTGTACCAACTTTTAGCCGAAAGGGACAAGGGTTTCTTTGATAATGATAAAACCTTCAAAGTGGCAAAAATATATCGAGCAAAGCGGTGCATATTTGACATAAATCGAATAATACTAACTATGGTAAAAACCTTAAGTTTAATGGAAAAAGAATGGACTTCTTTTTACTAGACCTACCAAATATTTGTTTATATTATAAAATAAAATTATACCGAAAATCATAATCAAGGTTATTTACGCTTGTAATTCCAAGTATACACAGGTTATCGACAGACCGAAAAAAAATTTAAAAAAAAGAAATATACATATTTATATATAATAATATTTTTTTTTTTAACGGTATCGCTAATGACTTGCTGATAATTAATTAAAAAGAATCGCGTAATTTCTTAATTGTTTGGTCTCGCTTATGAGGCATTGGAAAGAAAGTCCGAAAAAAATCCGGAAATATTACATACACATATGCAGACATATGTAAGTATGCATGTTATGTAAACAGAGAGTAAGGGGAAAAAATCAGCTTTCAGACTCCCACACAAGCTATTGAAATACATATATGGACATACGTAGAGGACGAAAGTACACCGAGAGCGGACTGGGAAGCAGTACTCCGCTGAGAATATGCACTAGGAATTTTTACACGTAGGACAGACAGGTCCTATGTCAGCCGAGGTCTTTATACCTATCCTGAACGAATCGAGATTATGGTATTTCATTTTAGGATTAAATATTAATTCTCATATCCGAAAAATTTTATGCAGGTGATATAGTTCTCCGATTTCCATTATTTTCAGACGTATGCGTGAAGAATACTTCACCATTTTAGGTTCTTTTCAAGCTGGAATTCGGACCCAGAAGTTCAAATCTGAACAAATCGGTTATATGTGAGTTATATGTTATAGTGGCCCGATCTAACCGGTTTCGACAAATGATCATTTAAATGTAAAAAATTCAACCGAACGAGAATTATCTCAAAAACTGGAAAATTAGTTTGCGTACAAACAGAAAGAGAGAGAGAAAAAGCTAATAATTTGCGTACAAACAGAAAGAGAGAGAGAAAAAGCTAATAATTTGCTACCCTCATCATATCGGTGAAAATTTCGTCGAATCTTTCTCTCTCTGCGGACCACATTGAAAACATTATTTTATATTAATGAAGAGTATGAATATTGTCTGAGCGCTGAGGCGCTTTTTGAAAGAGCAAAATCATCGAGAAATCATCGAAAATCTATAAATTATGTGCCACAATAACACAACATCTCAAGAGGTTCTCATTGTAAATGAGTTTCTAACAGAATGATCTAGAAAAGTTTTTAAGAAACCAAAAAAGACACATGATATGGTTACAATCGAACCTTTGCCCTTTCTAAAGACGTGAGCAACCCTTGTGCGAGATATTTGGTTACCCATGAGAAGCCTTGACTCTTAGCAGGAAAAGATGGATCTTCTCCTCGTATGACCAACGGCTGATACACTCACTATATCGGCCATACAAAGTTGTGCAAATTTGATGTTGCAATCATGGTAAGGGAGAGACTCAGTCCCCAAGCGAAACGATTTGGGTTTGGTTATGATCGTGGTCAAGATGAAGGATCTTCTAACATCAAATAAACAGTCAGCGAGAAACCTTCATCAATATTGCCAGCTTCGAAAAGCAGCTTTAAATCATCCTTCCCAACATAAGCTTGTTTGGACTGCGTGGGCATTCGACGAAAGTTTTCTCTCCAACTCTATAACTCGGTCATCATTTCCGTCCTACTACGTAGAGGTAGACCACGTACGATGAGTCAGCGCGAGAAGTTTTCGAGAGAAAGAAAATAGCGGAAAATGAATTGATGAACTGTATGATTGACATAGCTCAGCGAATTAAAAGTTAGCGACTATGCCGGCTGACTCATGTCGTTCGAAGGGACAACAACACTCCAACTTTGAAAGCTTTCCACGGCAGTGCATGCCACTGGAAGCAGGTGAAGACCACCAATTCGCTGCAAGCATAAGGTGAAAAAGGATCTGGACTCTCCGATCGGCACCGGACAGCGAAAAGGAGAAACGACTAGTGCGCTATTCGGCTACAAACACATAAACGAGGACCACGTCCATCCGGATGAGAAAGTATTTAAACGTACATAAATTTGAGAAATTCATAATCCGAAACAAAAATCGACTGAAACATGGAAAAAGTTAAAAAAAAAAATATTTTTTATTTTTTTTTTTATTAAAAAAAAATCCTTGAAAGAACTCACACTCACGCCGATTCAAAGCTGTTTCTTTGCGTATTTAACGAAGTGAGCACTTGAAAGATAAGACTCGCCTAACGCTTCGGCCAATAAATGGATGCTTCTTTTTTGTCCACTTTAATCTGTCTACACATATGTAAGCTGTGCAGTGCAACAACTGCAACATCGATCGATAAGCAATAATGTCTGAAGTACCGTTAGTCCCGAGTAGCACCGCAACTACGGTTCGCTGCCAGAACAATGTCACATTAAGTAGCCGTGACGTTGACGTCGACTGCGAAGCGTTAGCAGTAAATTTCTTAGATAAGAACGTTCGACTAAGGTCCGAGTTAATATTTAGAAGCAGACGCGGCATTTCGAGCACAGTACCAATAGAAACGTCTTACAAGTCCGAGCCGATTTACAATAACGCAATATAACGGCACATATAACGCGTGATTCGGATTACAAAAGTTTTTATTTTTCGCATACCAAGACCATAGAAATTCAGCCGAGGATACACAAGGATAAAGCATCAAACTGGAGGAACAAAACGAGCCACCGCAATATCTAAATGAGCAATTCTTCAAGACCGCCTTGGAGGATGGGCTGCGTGATATGCGCGTGGATATAAAGAAAATCATATTCGCGGAATCGAATGGCGGTGGCGAGAATTATTGTAGTAAAATATATCGTGCGAAAGCCTTGTACCGCAGCAGTAAGCGCCAGTTGGATGAAGAGTTGGCGTTGATTGTGAAAAGTATAGCCATAACACCGGCTACAAAGTTTCTGGAAGAGTTGGCTGTGTATTTGCGCGAGAAGATTTTCTACTTCGATGTTCTTGGTCGGTTGGAGGTGCTCATTGGTGACGGTGCGAAATTCGGGCCGAGGTGAGTAGAAGGAGAGAGATGTTGATGGGATATGAATTGGGGTGCAGAAGATTTGATTGAGAATTTAATTTATTATAAGACAAGACTCTTTGATTCTTCAAAAATTCTAAGGATAAATATTGAAAAGTTTAATGAGAGGAGAAGTTTTGTGCTTTCAAATAGTCTTTGGAGGGTTGATTCCTCTGCTAGAAGCCCAACAGGTACTGTTTGAAGAGCATACTTTCTTCCTTAAGAGCAAGCTGATGTAAGTGATTGTATAGGTTGTGCGAAGGATACACCAGAAGGTATCCTGGCGAGACCCTTATCTCATTGTTTTGTCTCCTTTTTATACGTCTTTAGAAAGGGTTCTCTATGACACTTGCTGATATTAAAGTTTAAAATCGCCAAGCAAATATACTTGTATTTTCTCTAAGCGATGGCAGCTGCCAATTTGAGGAATTTTTGAGAATATTGTGTGTTTTGGGAATATTTCTCGTCGATTAATAATCATTATACGAAGGATGCTGGACCCGACAGTCAAGTGGTTAGCATTGCGTACTGCCATTCGGAAGGCGAGAGCTTGAGTCCTGCGCCGACTAAGATCCAAAATTATAGAAAATTAATTTTTGAAATTGCAGTCGCCCCTCGGTAAGGAATGTCAAGCGTTTCGAGTATAATCCTCACATGGAAATCAAAGCTACTAATAAAAGTCCATCAGCCATTCAGAGGTGGCTTGGAACAAACTGTAGATTCCTCCATTTGTTGGAGACCGACACCACAAAATGGAGAACCTCGACCAGATATTCCTTACTCGGTCATTAAGAAAATAAAAACCAAGACTGAAATTGACCAATGACGTGCTGTTCTTGTAAGACCACTTCTTCTGATGAGTTGGAGCTGAGTTCATTACTTAATTTAGACAGCCACTATTTTGATTCCAGATCTGACCCTTCCTAGTTACCTTTATTAGTTAGTAAAATGGAATAAATTGAGAGAGAAGTGTTATCTTAGGCCATGTCGAAGCCCTCATCTCTTTCATTAGCAAATCAATCAAAGGAATCCCAAATAAATGAATTAATAAAGTCATTAATTGTGCCCGCATTGCAAAGGAAAAAATACTAAAATTCATTTCTAACGCGTAGAGACATCACTGATGGCGTTTAAACAATAATGCAATTGAAATATTCGCACTTCACATTTTTCCCAAGGTTATTTCCATATTTTCCTCTATAAATAATTTATTCAATTTGTTTAATTTTCCAAATTCATATTATTTTTACTTTGCCTGCAGATGCTTTTACACGACAAGAGAACCCATACAGACGATTGTTTTCGATGACCTCACGCAATATGGATATAAATTGGCCAGTCGCCAAAATGGACTCGATGAGGAGCACTGCATGGTCATATTGCAAAAGTTAGGCAAATTTCATGCAACTTCGATGGTACTGATGGAGAAGGTTGGTACCAAATACTTAATATAGAATTTCAAATACATACACAGTCTTATAGATAATTATTTGTAAGCTGCTTTATCAAATTCAGGGAGTAAAGAAATTATTTTTTGAAATTTTCGTTTTGAATGCCACATTATCTCGTGTATTGTGGGGCATTGCACTAATTAATTAAGACGTGCCAAATAATCAACACAAAAAAATTAAATAAAATTACATGAAATAAAATAAAATGAGAAAAATAAAACAAAGCACCATAGAATAAAAAGAAATATTTTAAAATAAAATGATAAAAATTAAATAATATAAAAAAACATATTAAAATAAAAAATAACAAAACCAATAAACTGATAAAACACTAACAAAATAATATAAAACCAAATGAAAATAAAAGTAGATTAAAATGAATAAAAGAAAATAAACAAAAAAGAAAGAAATAAAATGAAATAAAATAAATTGCAATACAATAAAATAAAATAATATAATGCAAAATAAAATAAAGTAAAAAAATAAAAAATAATAAAATCAAATAAAAAAACTTTAAAGAAATAAAACAAAATAAAAAATCAAAAGAAATAAAATGAAATGAAATAAATAAATAAAATAAAATAAAGTTAAATAAAAAATAAACTATAAAGGAATAAAATATAAAGATATAAAATAAGCAAAATGAAAAAAATAAAACAAATTAAAATAAACTTTAACTAAATGAAGAAGAATATAATAAAATAATAAAAAGACGAAATATAGTAAAACGAAATAATGAAGTAAAATAAAAAAATAAGATAAAAAAATAAAATAAAATGAAATAAAATAAAAAATAAATTGAATCAAATAAAAAGAAGATGAAATAAACTAAAATAAAAAAGAGGAAAGAATAAATAAAAATAAAATAAGATTACATTAAATAGAAAAAAATAAAAAATGTACAATAAAATAAAATAAAATTTAATTAAATGGAATAAAATACACCAAAATACGACAAATTGAAATTAAATGAAATGAGAAAGTAAAATTAAATAACTTAAAATATAATAAATAAAATTATTTAATAAAAATAAAATGAAACGAAATAGTAATAAGATAAAATAAAGTGTGGCAAAATAAAATAAAATATAGAAAAAATAAAATCATATATAATTGAATAATAATGAATAAAATTAACTTAAATTGAAATTCAATAAATTAATATACAAGAAAATTAAAAAAAAAATAAAGAGTAAAAAATAATATTGAAGAAAAAAAATTAAACTAAAATAAAAAAATTAAAATACAAAATAAGATGTATAATAAAATTAATTAATTTAAATTAAAATAATATAAAGCAAAATGTAAGCTATAAAATATAAAATTGATTTAAACAATATGAAACATAATAAAGAAATATAAAATAATAAGAAATAAATAAAAATTAAATTAAATTAAAATAAATGGAAAGATAGAATAAAATAAAGTAAAATAATACAAAAATGTTGAAATAAAGATAAAGAAAGTAAAACGATATAATTTAAGAAACTGTCTTCGTTCATGCCGAAGAACTTATACCTTCATGAACTTAGAAGAAGAATGGATTGGATAATACTTTATTTCACGCGCTTAGATATAGTTGTATATAATATCTGACCGGTTTCGATAAATAATCATTTAAATGCTTAAAAAAATATATCAGTGTATCGACGTTGGTTGAAAACTGAGGGAATAGTTTTGGTACAAAACAGACGTATGGACAGACGAATATGGCCAAATCAACTCAATTCATCAATATGATTAAATTGATATATTTTTTTTATATATACCCTAACTGTCTCTATACTCATTCAGATACTTACATAAAATTAAAAAAACTGAAATTTTGGGTGAGCTTTATTGATCAATGCCTTAAATATTCGATCTTGAAGTTAACCCGGAACTTCGTGCCTCGGTTTCCGGATTATATTTTTAGAGCCATAATTGGCTGCAGGGCTCCACTTGCCAAGTAGTTACCATGGCTTACTGCCATTCGGAAGCTTTGGGTATGACCAAAAATTATAGAAATTTATTATAAATAACCATCAACCGTTTGAAAATGACTTAGTATAAACTTAAGATTCCCTTAGTTTTGGGAAAACATGAAGACTTTTTCGTACTTTTCAAAAATAACCGTTATAATGATAGCATCGGTACTTGTGATCCAAGCAACGTCGATTCAGCTCGTTAGTTCATGAAGTTTGATATAAATATGTATATATGTCCATAAATATCTCGATTATTTCATGCCGTTACATACAATCGTTAGGCGAATACTCTGTGTATTTCATATTTAAAAATATAAAATTTGCTAGACATATGACTCCACTATATCCTACCCATTTATTATATATGTATGTAAGTATTTTACTGTTTTCCGCTCTCCTCAGGATCCTACTGTACGAGAACACTTCACATCCGGCATGTTGGACGAGCACTACATACGCACTAACGAACGTTTCATCGATTTTATGACGCTTCAGCTGCGCACACTCGCCGATGTAGTTGCCAAATGGCCCGGTTATGAGTCGATTGCCATGAAACTGCATCGTCACTGCGATAATATAAAAGAAAACTTGGTAATAACCGGGCAGCCCAAACCAGGCGAAATAACGGTGTTAAATCATGGAGATTTGTGGGTTAATAACTTCATGTACAAATACGATGCGGAGAAGCCGACTAATCCCATCGATGCGATATTTGTGAGTTAAAAATAATTTTATCATTAAAATAATATAATAATTATTCAGTCTTTTGTCCGATGGAGTTTTTAATATATATATATATATATTTTTTTTTTTTTGCTGCAGCTCGATTTCCAAAATAGTTTTTTCGGCAGTCCCGGCTGTGATATAAACTTCTTCCTGAACAGCAGCGTACAGCTGGATGTGTTGGTGAATCGTCGTGATTTCCTGGTGCGCACCTACTACGAGGCATTGCGCAAGTCACTCGAGCACATGCATTACGCCCACGTACCCACGCTGCATGACATTGAAATGGAGATTCGAGCACGTGAATTGTATGGCTTCTTCTCCTCGTATGCCTTCCTGCCTATGGTCGCAATGCGTAAAGAGGACTCTTATGATAACAGTATCGAAGCGATGACCAATCAGGAATTCGCTCGCAAGAAAGTGCAGCTGATGTTCTCCTCCAATCCACGCACCACGGATACGTTGCGCTTTGCTCTTCGACGTTTCGATGAGTTGGGTATTTTTGATTGAGACGATGCAGTTGCTGGTGCGCTGGAGAGCTAGTTTCATTTCATTTTATTCGTTGTTGCTTTCATTCTTTTCATTAATTATCTGTATTGTTTAGTTGTAGGCTACAATGTAACGCTTTATTTTATAGTTTAATGAAAAAATATACGTAAGTGCAGTGTTACAACTGTTGAGGTTGTTTAAAAGCTACGGAGAGGAGAATTTTGAAATGGAGCAGGCATATTTCTAGTATGAATACTTCCGGGGATGCAATGCCGAGCCTCATTATGAGCTAAACAGGTGGAAAACAGGCGGCCATGAACTCCCATCAGCCCATGAGTTCATATCAGACATTGTTCAACAAAGAAGGACGAGATACTTTTTTTGGAAGGTATACATTAACGAGATTAAGATGATTCTGGAATACTCTTGTGTCTGAGTACCCAACCCAAAGCCACTCTACACCCATCCTTAGGAGCCGCAGTGCATTAGTGCCACAGCTCGCCTGAATCTCATCATATGGGTGGATATTTGAGAAGAGTTACGAGGGCTTTCCTTGACGTACTTGCCAGGATTCTGTAATGAGGAGTTTCCCGCTGGACTTGACTTTGTCGTGTGCCAGGCGCCGTACTGCTAGTCCGCTACAAGCAAAAAAATCGGTCTATTTCTACTTTGGACCTTCTTATTCTTCATTGCTGCAGGCTTCACTTGAAAGATTATAGTCGAATGAACAATAAGGCGCCATTCGTTCTCTTCGCCGTTTGATGCCAATTGGAAATTATAAATGAAACTCGGTGGAGAGCAACTTTATTCTTTTAACGCATCTGCTTCTTCTTTCAAAGCTGGAGTGCTTTCATCCATTCGCTCAGCTACGTCAGTACCACCGTATAACTCATGAAGCTCATCATTCCATCGACTGCGGTATTCGCCGTTCCCAACGCGCAGTGGATCAAATATCTTATGCAATATTGTGCTCTCGTAGACTCTGAACTCACGCTTTTATACCATATAGCAGGACGGGAGTGATAAGCGGCTTGTAGAGTTTGGTTTCGGTTCGTAGGGCGAGGCTTTTTAATTCCCTACTCAGTCCAAGGTATCTTCTGTTGGCTCGAATGACCCTGCATTGGATTTTAAGGCTTCTATTTTGTATAGCCGGTAATGCAAAGCCCAGCTTTTATCAGTAATCAGCTTGCAAGCTTAGATTTCCAACTCTTACTTTAACGTTTCCCAGTGCCTGTTGAGTTTGCTATCCAAGTATTCAAATGAACATTTTAAGGGGCACCGGAAACTAGGTGGTTGGGGTCTTCTGGTGCGCTTATATTATCTTCATTGTTAAGTGAAAACCTTGGGACTTATCTAAAAGTAAAGAAGACGACGTTTTCTTGTAAAGCTAAATTTTGGTCTGGACTCAGGACTCGCGTCAACGGCGCTTGCACCTGACACATCTGATTATTTAATTGTAAGCTGCCACTTCCCAGCTGGTTGCTGTCTTCGTTGTTAATTATCGTGGATTTCGCCCAAAAGAGACGCGGTAGATGGACTTGAGCGGAACCTGTGACATGCAGCGGACATAGGAGAGAGAGACAAGGGGTTACCATTACCCGTATTAACGTGTAGTTTCTTTTAACGTATTACTGATGGGCCCAGGGATCTCAAGGGAAGAGGAGGACTTTTATTCTTTCAATGCGATGGAATATATAATATTTAATCCTATTGTGGTAGTTCTACAGGCTTTGACTCCTTTAAGTATCTCAAAAGCAGTTAAATAAATCATAAATAATTTTAATTTTCTGAACGAGTAAAATTTGCCATAAAATTTCTAAGTGGGAAATCTAGATATTCTCCTTGCGCAAAATCGCTGAATCATGCTCGAATGAAGAGACAGCAGCTCTTCAGTTTTGAAAGTGTTCGATGGAGTACCCGCTGGTGGAAGCAGCGGAAGACCTCAACTCCGTTGGAAGGACCAGGTAGAGAAGGGCCAGGCTGTACTTAGTATTTCCAATTGGCGTCAAATAGCAAAAAGAAGAAACAAATGGCGCAATGTTGTTAACTCGGCTATATTCGCGTAAGCGGAGTTTACGCCAGTAAAATAAGTAAGTAAGTTGTATTCTATATTATTCAAATTTATTTTATTTTGTTTTATTTTACTTTAATTTATTTAATTTAATTTAATTTAATTAATTTATATTAATTTATTTATTTTTTAATTTTATTTTATTTCATTTTATTTTATTTAATTTAAGTAAATTTAATTTTATTTTTTTTTATTTTATATCAGGTGTACAACTTTGCTTTCGCCGTTTTTTTCCAAAAATAAAAGCTTTATTGCGAAAAAGTGCTTACAGATATATTATTCAAAGTATTGTCCTTCGCTAGCGACAACTTTCTTCCATCTATCCGGCAATTTTCGGATCCCGGCTTGAAAAAAGGAGTCCTCTTTTGACGTTATCCATCAAACAATCCATTTTTCCAATTCTTCGAAGGATTGAAAATGTTGATCTGCCAGGCCGTGTGCCATCGAACGGAATAGGTTGAAGTCAGAAGGGGCGACATCTGGGGAATACGGCAAGTGGGGTAAGACTTCCCATTTCAGCGTTTCCAGGTACTTTTTGACCACTTTTGCTCGATGTCCCTCGGTTTCAACTCGTACGGCACCCAGTTTCCTTCTTTCTGAATCATGCCCAGGGCCTTGAGACGTTTTGAAATGGCTTGCTGACTCACTCCCAACGATTCGGCAAGCTGTTCTTGGGTTTGGCACGAATCTTCATCAAGCAATGCTTCTAGTTGTTCATCTTTGAAGGTTTTTTCTCTTCCACCACCATGTTTGTCTTCGACATCGAAATCACCATTTTTAAAACGTTGAAACCACTCCCGACACGTTCTTTCACTCAGAGCAGCATCACCGTAAGTTTCTGAGAGCATTCGATGCGCTTCAGCTGCATTTTTTTTCGAACTGTAACAGAAAAGTAAAACTTCCATAAACGGACATTTTCGAGCGTGAATAATACGAAAACAAGAACAACTGTCACTGAAACGGCGATGACAATTCGTTAGGCACTATCTATGTATTTCAACCAGCCTCAGCCGGTACAGCCACCTATCGGAAAACGGCGGAAGCAAAGTTGTACACCTGATACCTATTTTTTATTTTTTATATTTCATTTTGTTTTATTTTTTTTAACTAATTTTATGTTATGATATTTTTTTTTAATGCTATTTTTGTATTTATTTTTTTTTGGTTTTAGTTAATTTTATTTTCTTTTGCTCAACTTAATTTAATTAAATTTTACTTTTTCGTTTGATTTTATTATATTTTATTTATTTTATATTAATGGTATTGGTTGTGTCTGTTCTTTCTACCAAGTCTTTTAGCTTAGATTATTATCTACTGCGTTCAGTTCAGTACGTTCAACTATTTCGCCTTGTCGCATTGCCTTAAAAATCTTATTGCGCAATATTTGGTGCAATTCAAGAATGCAAGAGATCTTGATGTAGTCCAAAAGTACTTGATTTTAAAGAAGTTTTTTCTTTTTTTTTTGGTAATCCAAAACGAAAAAAATTTTGGTTGAAATTCTCAACTGAGTATTGAGACTCCTGTAGAGGCTAAGCTATAAAAAAAATACCAACAAATTTCTATGGTTCTTACTTGTTTTTGCTTAAGCAACATTATTAGAACAACAAAATGTGTAACACTAAATTATTCCAAATATTTGTTTCATTCTAAATCCCATGCCAGAACTTAACTATCTATGTATGTACGAGCATGTTGCAATGGCCCAAGCGCATTTGGCATGATGCTCAATAATATTGTCGAATCTGTCCATCAATTTTTTGTATATTTTGATATGTATGTATGCATGTATGCATGGGTTGCTTTTGCGTTTTGTTTAAAAACACAAGACATCCGAGTAAATGTATGCATATATGTAAGTGTTTGTATGTTTTTTTTATTTTGTTTTTCTTTTTTTTTTCAAAATCACATATCGTACACGAATCACAAAATCTTATGAAATTCTACATTGAACAATGTGTGGTCTTGTTTGACATGGACGTTTTGGACATACGGACAAGCGAACGGTATGTCATGCCCAAATTATTTAGCTGTCAAATAATGCACTCCTATGTAATATGTATGAATGTATGTATGTGTATATGCAACCAAAATGTCAATTTGTTAAATGAAATTGAAAAATTACACTTTTCATGCGCGAGTGTGTTCGTGTGTGTGTGTGTGTATGTTTGTGTATGCAATTGACATGCGTAAGCGTTGATATTTGTCAAATATTTCGGTATATTCCAATTGTAAACATGTCAAATCAACATCACCATAAACGAGTGAGAAGAAACGGGCAACTCGTACTCGTCGGAAAAATTCGGTACTCGTCGTACGTGCTGTCGGTGGCAGCAGAAGTAGTAGCAGCAACAATTTGTACTGGATTAATTTGGCAGAAAATTCTTTTCAATGTTGTTGCTTGGTCTTTTGTACTTTTTGTGATTTTTTTTCTCGGTTGTACTATGTGCATTGGTTATATTCGGTTCGTTCAGCTAACGGTTGTAGGTAACGGCATGCATCGCGTTAGATGTGGATATATGTATATATAACTTTATGAAGTGGTGAGAAGAATCAATTCAGTCTTTAACGTTAAATCAAGTAAGAATTGGGTTATTTTGATGAAACTTGGTTCACACTTGCCTAGGTACTGACGGTATTCCAAATCGTTGAAATTGGAATAAGTTCACTCCCACCTCACGTATAACGGAAATTTTAAAAGGAGGAAAATTTCGATAATTCTGTAAAATTTCGGGTGGGCGTGGCACCCTAGTGGCTCGGTTCTTCCGAATTTAAGGGAGCTCCGTGGGACTAGCTACAAGCCACCGAACGCGTCACAAGTTATTGTGTTATTGAACGGCTCCTAGATATAAATGTTAGCAATAGCAGCAAGCAGCGGGTGATCAGCTAGGCTGTGGTGGCGCGCAGCTTGGCATCGTTTCGTCTTGAAAACAAAACTCCATATTATTTGGTTGGCAGGTTGGTTGAAGTGGCTGCCGGGCATCGGCTCATCTAATCCACAAGCGAGCTCATTGTGATACCACTGTGCATTCTAATGAGCCCCACCCGCTAATTGAACTAGTGAACGGAGTTTGCAAAGCTCGATTAGTCGCCGCATCTTGGCCCCCGCTATCTCGCTCATGTCATATTATTTATATTC